TTGATTGGGAATCGTATCTGACTTTGTGATATTGGTAACCATGGCATCGTCATCCATCCAGGTCAATATAATTTTGTATCGAGATATAGCTGATGATTTACACCACTAACTGATGTATGGGACCAGGTTGCAAAGGTAATCCTCTTTGTCCTTAGCTGCCTCTCTTGGCTTTTCTAAAAGGACCCTAGGCCACAAATGGTTGCTATGTGAATGACTGACAGCTTTGACTTTGCTCTCCTATTACCAAGACAGACTGGTGCAGTATCTGTGACACTGCAGATGCTGTCCTAGTCTGCCTCTCTATATGTGCCCTGCTCTGTTTTATCCCAAACTCATTACAAGAACATTAAGATACCTTATTTCTTTCAAAAGGCTGATCTAAAGGTCAGATATTTTATTTACATAAACATTCACATTAAGAGAACTTGAGACTTTAGATGCTCTTCTGTCTGTTTTCTCTGACCTGCTGTTCTCAGATTCCCTCGGCTGTCTCAACAAAGCAGCACAGGCGAAGTATTGGTTATTAAATTATTAGGAAAGGGAAAAAAACTTCTGTAAGTTTTATCTTAGCCAAATTACAACAAGTAACATTGAAACAGAGCAAACAACGGTCTGGCACTGTAGCAACCTGTTTGAGTTAAAAAAAAATAAAAAATCCTCAGATTGACAAAAGTTGTAGGCCTATAGCTGGATATTTTTCTAGAAATGACACTAAAGCTATCTGCATTTCTAAAAAATATTACTATTTCAGAACATTAAAGTAGCTTTTTGTATCTGTGAGACAGTAGGAGCAACATTTTATGTCTGATATGTAGAAACACCAGTTGGGACAAAAACTATCATAAGATTAAATCTTTAGGAAACTGCGGATTAAAACTCATTATTGATGAGGGAATTAAGTGAAGCATAATTAGAAAACTATTTTAAGCCATGCACTGAAGAAACAATATGTTCATTTACTACATATTAATAGTTTTGGAAAAAGTTTGGGATAAATTGTGCTTTATACTAATAATAAGGGAAAATGGAAAAATTGAAAAATTAACTTCTACATCTTAACCTATACGCTTAGGGAGCATTGGGCTACCACTGTGCGGTGCCTGGGGAGCAATTGTGGTTTAAGGGTCTTGCTCAGGAACCCAGACTGCAGGCTGTGGGGATCAAAATGAGAAGGTGGCAAGTACCCAGTTTAGGACACACTCCCTTTATGCATTAAAATGCAGCCTTAATGCTGTCAGTGTAGGATCCATTTATACAGACATTCTTCTTTTGTATTTTGAAATGTACCATATCTGCTTTCCTCTCCCAAATCTAACTTCCCATCTAGGTCACTTTTTAACAAAAAAACAATATACACATTTTGCTCTGTCATTCTAAAAAAATAGAATTATTCTGTATATCTGACAGACCACTACAGAAGGCTGTCCATCAATTTGGTGGGAATTAGCACACAAACGTGAATGGCTTCTGAATGGAAAAGATGATGAAATCTGTGAGAATAAGGGGTTACATTCTAGACTGTAGGTTTGAAACTTCCTCTCTTCTTAAATACCCTGCAGTGACACAGCTATGCTAGAAATATTCTTATTCACACCAAGAGTCAAAAATTTATGAATACAATTTGGATAAAAGAATACACATTTGATTATTGTGTATAATATGGGAGGAAAAGCCAACTGAAGTAACAACAGCACAGAATCCATACAGTTTCCATAATAAGGAAAGCATTTCCAATCAGTAACTAGTGCTCTTTTTTTATGTCTGCCTCTTTAAACGGAAAAAAATAATTAGAATCACTTTTGCTGTAGATGACTTTATTAATTAGCGAGCTCCTCTTTTATTCAGCCCTTTATTCCACCCACGTCTGATTTTCTGGCCTTGAAAAAGTGCTGCGAACAAAGGGGCAGAGATGAAATAAATTGTTATCGAAGCTAAACCCACAGAAAACTCTCTCGGCCATCAGATTTTTTTCTTTGCCACTCTGCCTGTCGCCATTGTTCTTTGACACAGTGTAATATGAATGCCACTGGCAGCGCTTATTATCACCAAACCCCTAGAGTTCTGACTGTATAAAAGCTACATTTCATTTTTTAAATGCTAAAATTCTTTGAAAAAAAACATTAAAGGTCTGTTAAGGGGAAAAATTATAATTTCACATTCGTTTAATGACATGCATAACAATATCAACCATCAGATTGGTCTTTTCTGAAACCATTCATGTTGGCTCGTGGCAAGCCTTAAGAAGGAGGAGCCTTACTTTGTTGCATTTACTGCAGCCTAAACTCAGCCCTTCAGCAGCAAATATGACAAGGAAGAACCTGCTACTCAGACAATAAGTCAAACATAAAACAGGAGGTTGTCAACACTCAAAAAAATCATCTAGAAATAAGTAAACATTTCTTAAATAAAGTGTATTTACCCTTAATTTGAGTAGGTAAATGAGATAGATGCTAATGGAATGAGTATTTTTACTCCTAAATAAGATAACTAGATAAAAAACATTTGAAATAAGACAATGAAATTGTGTTCTTATTTTAAATGTAAATTGTCTTGTTCCATTGGCAAAATGTCTCTTTTATCTCCTCAATCCAAGAACAAATGCACTTATTTTAAGAAAAGAAGGACTTATCTAGATTTAGATTTTTTTCTGTGATGGAGGTTGCCAAAGAAAAGATTTAGCTTTCTATTGAGTCATTGGAGGGAAATGACTCTTGTAAAGACGTCCAAGATATTTAGTAGAGCAACCAAAACCTGCTGAGAAAGATCCGTTTTATGGCAAAATATGGATGGGAAAACAAGGAGGCTAAAGAAGAAAACGAACAACACTGAATATTAACTTTTATGGCTGAAATAATTATTTGCAGCTTTTTATTTCTCTTATCATACTGAAAATAAAGAATACAATATGATTCAGGTTTTGGTATATTCAGCAGCCTAGTATTACTTGAAAAGAAAGCTGTCATTTTGTTACAATTAAATTTTATACAACAGAAAAACTATTATTTTAATCAATGTTTTATGCAGGATATTTTAAAGTTTGTCCTTTATTGAATCTTTCCAACTGCAAAGGCTAAATAGGTAATAAATATGTAGAACCATGCTGCTGGGGTACAGTGCATATGCGTCAAGTCGTGTGCAGACTTTTGCAGATGTTTCCATTTATTTCTCCGTATTTTACTTTTATTACATTCATGTCTTTTTAAACTTTTATTTTTCTTTACTTATCTTATTTGTATATACAATCTTATTTTTTTTCTCTCTATTTAAACCGTTCCACTTGCAAGAAAAAGAATTTACCGCAAGGGATTAATAAAGTAATTCTGATTCTGATAACCAAATATCATTTAATTATTTTAAAACCAGATCAGATGTTTAAAAAAAAACTAAATACAGTCACCCTTATTCTATATGTTGTTAACCACTGAATAATCTTAAAACAATGCTCTACTGTTGGTGTTATAATTCCTGTTAGTTAATCTTTTCTTTTGCTTTTTTTCCTGTTGTCGAATGGCATATTGTTGTTATCACAGTGTGTTTTATAGAGTGACACCAGTAAGTGTAATTTATTGGTATAAACACTAACTCCCTTCGACTGGGGTCTTAGAAAGCTTTAGGGAGTGTGTTTGTGTTTTGTGAAAGGACAGAGGAGGAGCGGATTCTCTGACTTACCAAGCAAGTTAATCAAACATAGCTCTACTAAATACATCTACAGTATGCAGTGTGCATTTAATGAATATATTACCACTCTGAACGGATCAGGGCTGAATGTAACTAAAAGCAACAGATTAATGGACTTTAGCTAAGTATTCTGCTTTTAGAATCAGTTAATAAACAGAGAAGGTGTTAAACACCAATCTGTGTTCAATCTCTTACAACCAGATTGAGTAACATATTGTATTCAGTAAGTTTCTACACAAACCCTGCTGAGTTACACACCTTTCTAGTTCTGCTATTAAAATTGTCTATCTTTAATTGGATAAAGACCTAAATGTCTTAATTTAAAGAACTTATACAATGTCCACAAAATAAGTCTCTAAAAACCACTTGTCACTGCATCACTAAAAGAATAAGCAGATTAAAACAGCACAAGCTAAAACCAGAGACAAAAGAAAGTGCTGAGTTGAGGCATTCTCTTAGTAAATTCTTATGTTGCTCAAGCAGCGAAAAAACAAAGAAGATGAAAAATCTGTTTGAACAGGATATTTTGGAACATCTGTTCATATGTTACGCTTGTCTTTAGCTGGAAAAAATATATAGCCTGCTGAAGAACACTTTACTATAACTAAACCTTAATGGATTATCGATTATCATTTCAATACTGTATGATATACTTGTTTAAATAAAATAAAATTACGGTATGTTGTGACCGTTTGGTGATTTCTCATGATTTCAGAGACATAACAAAAGTATTCCTGCTTTACTAACACCACTTTTTTTGTCTGCATCTCCAGAGAAAAAAGTTTGCAGCTTATTTGTTTCCAGACATCTCAGGTGAGTATGTTCATAGATAGGCTGATGTCTTAGAAAAAAATTACACTTTAATCTATGATGATACAATATCGCACTAAAATGTTTTTTTGTTTTTGTTTTTTTTTTGTGTTTTTTATCACTTTGCTCCATGGGGCAGTTATAAATAACTGTTGCTGTCAATGTTTTATCATAGAAAGTACTGACTGAATTCTGTATGTTAACCAAAATAGAGTACATGCAGTATGGAGTCAGTATCAGATACCTGATCAGCCAGAACAGACCAGTAAATTCATATCTACCTGTATTTTTAATTTTTTTCCCCGGTATTTTAACACATTTCCATTTTTTCTCTTTATTATGACACGGGCATAAGTCGGTTTTTGATTTTTTTTAGGTGCAGAGGGTTTTTGTTCAATCCAATAGTCCCCAAACTCTTTGTGGTCTACTTCAGGATAGAACAAAAAAAAAAAAAAAATGTCAAAATAAAAAAAAAAGAAAAATAGAGAGAAGGAAACAAACGTTTGACCTACTTTTTAGGTCTATAGTCAGGAATGCTTCTGTCAAGGGAGATGCGGTCACTCAGTTGAGCGTTATAGCCATATTCCTCGTACTTCCCCTCTGCATCGTGGCTATCCTCTCCGAGAGTGGCAGCTGCTCCCCCCTGGCCAAGACCGCCGGGTCCCTCCACCAGCCCCATTGGCTTCGCCAGACCTTTGAGGAACCAGAAAGGCAAATGTGAAGAAGATGTGAAAGGACAATTCTCAGGAAAAACATACAGAAATGAGTAAAAATAGAGACAGACAAAGTGAGAGGCCAACAGACAGACATTTTCAAACACTGAGAGAAAACTAGTGTTTGGCAGCTCTGAGACCATCAGAGTTCATCCATTAAGTATTAATACACTATCTGTAAAGGTAAAACAACCCCCTGGAAGCTATAAAAATATATACTGGCTATAAAAAGCTCAACAGAGGGTCGTGTCAGAAAAAAAAAAAAAAAAGTTAAGTCTGCAATACTAGTACAGTTAATTCTAAGGGTATCATAATCCCCTGTTTTTAAATAAATATATTTGTTTATCCAGGCTTTAATATTGTTTCCAAATCTCTTGCAAATTGGTAAAGTTTTTTCTACATCAATTTGAATCTGTTTCACTTTTGGGGTTGTTCTTCTTTACTGTAATTTATCACATTACTTTGGTATGTATTTGAAATATGGAGTCTATTGCTTTACCTATCAGTCAGGGTGTAGCAATATATTGATGCACACTGATTAAATGGTCATTACTCCAAATACAATTATTCAATTTTAAAACATCAATCCACACTGACATATTTAAGGTATGCCCTTATATATAGGTATAAAATTGATGTAAATAGGTGATTTATTATTAGAATCTTTATGATTGTAATGTTTTATTAAATTATATGTTTTGATTTGAATGCCTGATGCTTACAAGAGCTTAGAAATAAAATTGTTAAATCATATTTGAGTTTTATTTTGTGAGTGAATACAAATGTAAATGATTTATTTAGAAGGACAGATTATATTGCAATACATTATTCCCAGACCTATCACCTAAACTGTATGGAAATCACATCAAAACAGTCTTTATGATAACGGCAGACATCATCTGAACATTTAATCATATTGTATTATGATAAAGCTGGTGGTTTGCACCACTACAGTACCAATCAGAAAGCATGAGACCCAAGAATGTGTCTCAAATATCAGATAAATTTTAGGCTGAAACCTGAAATCATTCAACTCAGATTAATAAAGAAAAAGAAATATCACAAATGAAAAGATGAATTTCCTAGCAATATTCGAAACAATCTATTACACAAATCACTGTACTGTATATTTAAAATGTCAATCCCAACTTAGTCCAGGAACTGATACAGTGCCACCACAATTCATGTTTTTAATGAATGAAGGCATTATTTGTTCAGAGGGTAATATGTTAATACCACAATACAGCCTGTCACATCATGAACAGCCCTATTACCGGTAGTACACTAGGCAAGTAGTTAAATCAGAAGCACAAATCACTCTTCATGGAAGGAATCTTCACTCAGCCACAGTGCAAACAAATTATTTGAGCAGTATGCATGTTTTATTCTACTAATGTTATTTTATTATTATACATAACTTTGCTATACAAATATAGACAAAACTTTAAGTGGTTTTGAATGGCTTAAGAAGGTAAAATTATTGATCTGTTTGTCAATAAACCTCTGTAGTTCCAACATTTTGTCTGATTTTTCATTTTTATTTAAAATCTTTATTCGGTTGAGGTTCATTTGTTCAAAGGTCAAATATATCTTTTCCATTTAAAAAAGTAGTAAATGAAAAACAAAAACAAATACATTTTTAATCTATTAATTTAAAAAGGAAACACAGTGATATCTAAAGCTCCCATACAGGCAAATAGAGTTTTTCCCTCACTTATTGGAAACAAGCAGCTTAAAAAAAAAAAAGGGAAAAAAAAGGAAAAAAACAAATGCTTGGTGAACATTAAATGTATAAATTCCGTGAAACCTTTACTCATAGATCTGCAATTAATTTATTGAATGCGGATCTATGAAAAACATTCGCATTAAGACACCCGCCAAGGCTGCTAAAACCATTTTAGTTTTCCACAGCCTTCAATCAAACTCCTGAAATGTTTAACCTTTCTGCAAAATGATAATCAGCTAATTCAAGTTACCATATAAAAATGCGTAAGATTGCCTTACGTTTTTTACGTTCATGGTATTAGCAACATATTTCAAAATGTAAGTAAATCTCAAAACTCTTCAAATAAATTGTAGATTAACCAACACAAATGAATTGGGAAAAATGCTTCTTTAACTTTAAAACAAGAACATTGGAAGAGGTAAATTAATTTAATAGAGGTAGTTTACAAAAAGTAAAGAAATCAAATTTTAAAAAATTAGCAGTCTTGGAATCTTTCTTTCCAACTCAAAAAATGTATTGTAAAAACTAATAAATGCTTGAAGATTCAACTTTACTGAGAATCCTAAAGTAATATTTAGTTAAACAATTTATTTTCACTTTTTGCCTCATACACAGCATTTTGTTTTTTCAGCCTAAACATTTTCTATGGGATATATATCCGGAGATTGTGCTGGCCATTTCATTATTTGAAATCTATTTGTCTGTTACCAAGACTTTGCTTGCTTGCTGGTGTGGTTGGGGTCATTATCTCACAAAAAAACCTATTTCAAGGACATTCAGCTTCAGCATATAGCAGAACCAGAAACATCCAAATCTCAGGACGGTTGCGCCACCATGCTTCACCGTCCTCACTATGTACTGTAGTATGGCTTGAATTCAGTGTTTGCAGAACATCTGACATTTTATTTTTCTTTCTCTCTGTTATGGTATTGCTGCATTTTAACACTTTGTGTTACAATTTCTCTATTTTACTGCACTAAATCAATGACATTTCCATATGTTATTATTAGTGTATTATCACCTCCACCAATAATCAGATACATTTTTATTAATAAATTATTTTATATTAGTTTATGCATAAGGCTGGTCACCCATTTGTGGAGTGCAATGACAGTCTGTCATCTTGAAAGTACAGGAGTAAAATCTGAATAACGTGTGAAATAACAATGCATTTCCCCCTGCTAGCAGTTCAGTGTGATTGAGAGGTGACAGTAAAGATCATTTGGAGACCCTGATCCAGCAAGAGAAATTCTGCAGTACAACAGCGCAATGAAGAACCATGCATGTGCAGCATGTGTGAGGCTGTGTTGCTGCCATCTGAGCCGCTGCTATCCACTGCCTTAAGGGGACCCTCTATTCCAAGGCTACTGTGTGTCATGATCTGGCGGTTTGCTCTTCCTTAATTGTTTTTTTCTTTCACCTGTTGTTTTCCCTCCCTGCCTCAATTATCATTTATTCCTCTCACCTGTTTCCTTTGGTTTTTATTTCTGTTCAGCCTGAGCATTCAGGGCCAGATCATTATTTGTTTTTCTGTTAGTCTGTCCAGTTCTGTTCATTTGATGCCACGGTTCATGTTCAGTTTTGTGTTTGTCTCGTCTCCTGCTTGTCCACTGTATCTCCCCTGCTGAGCCCTCTGGGTTTTTGGCTCTGTACGCGGGGAGGTTCAGTTTTTATCCAAGTAAGCCTGGCTCCAAGCTGGAGACCAGTTTAAAGGTCCTGCATTCAGTTCTGGTTTCACGTCCTGTCTCGACTACCCTCTTCCACTGAGCTTTCACCGTCTGCACCTGATTCTGTCCGCTCCTGTGCGTGACTGCCTTGTCACGCTTCCAGACTCTGTTGGACTCTGAACCTGCCTGGGAGCTCTACGAGGCCTGGAGGCCTGGATCCTGCCTGTTTTGTCTGTTCCTGTCTGTTCTGGATCCCTGACCAGGATCGGCTTCCTGCTAGACCTCTGGGACTGCAGCACTGGGGACGCTCTTGGACTGGACTGTTAGACCAGGTAGGTGACCAACTCAGATGGTCATCTTCTGTCAAATGACCGTGGTCACTTGCCTGTTTTTCTCCCACTGGTGAAGTGTCTGAGTTTGGGCGGTGCCCTGACCCCCCACCTGCAGTCACCGCATGCTACAGATCCTAGCAGCTCCCCTTTTAGTTTTTGTTCATTTAATAAACATTTTGCCCACTGACTGTCTCTCCTTGAATACTGGGTCCATCTGTCCTCGTCTTCATGACACTGTGAGTTTTGAAAATTAAGCAAGTTTCATTCTGGTGTTTTCATCAGAACAATTCGAGTCTCTTTGAGAGCTAACTGTTGGATGAGCAGACTGTGTTCCCAGACCTAATCGAGTAAGACTATATTCACGGAACAAAACCAACAGAACAGAGTTGGACTCCAGAACAGAACCAAACTCCGGTCCCCTCCGATCATCCATTCTCCTCTTTCATACGGTATAATGGTGAACAGAATCTCTGCTTGGGCAAGAGGTAGATAGAATAGATATTTTACATATGTTGTTTGTGCTATATCTGAAAGAAGCTTCTTGATTCAGCTGCTGATGGTTTTTAAGTAAGATTTCTCAACTAAATGTTTATGCTTACTGAGTCTGACTGAACGATCTACTGTATGCTGTGTGTTACTGTCTTCTTCTTTTTCTACTTATGAAGAGTTAGGCTACTACAGTTGGACTAACTAGCATTGTTAGCTCTAAGCTACCTCATCGCCTCTTTGGTAGCAGCCATGTTGTGTACTCTAGCTCTTTTGTTCTTCTTGGCCAGCCCTGGAACCCAACCTTCTGTCCAGCTGGATTTACCCATTCTGTCCGATGTCACTCTCTTTAATCTTAATATATCCCTGAGTCATTTTTCACTCTAAATACGTTTGAAACTTTACTTTTGATTGCATTTTATGTCGCTGAATCAGAGTTATTCACATTCATCTGCTGCTATTTACAGGACACTTTGAATTGTTTGCTTCGATTTATTTGTGCTTATTTTCAGTGGTGTTTAGTGTTTGTTAGGTTATTGGATACAATAATACTGTGTGACTGTTAGCCAATTAAGGTACCATTGTGTTTTAACCCATGGTCTTTTTTGGTTTTATTATGCAGTGAACAATTTATCACTCAGGTGAGATCCAACCTTCTTTGAGTAATTTGAATTAATAGAGACACATCTATGTGGTTGGTGATTATTAGGTCTGCTGAAAGCCATAGTCTATATTACAATTAAACTGCATTTGTGAAGCTACCTGGATC